CTTTAATATAGTTATAACCATAAATTTTTCTCCTTTGTGCTTTTCTGGATCTTGTTTAGGTAGGACCACTGATATCCATAATTAAAAATTTTTGAACAATAAATCTTTTCTTTAAAAACTGTTCAATGAATTGAAATGAGTTTAAAAATATGGACAAGCTCTCTATTCTCTTGTTGCCCATTTCGTTTAAATTTGCTTTTCAATACCACAGTCAAGTATTTACTTTACATATAATGTGGTAACCCATTCACAAATCTAGATAAGAAGTGTAGCCATGTTGTAAGAGACCTGAGTTAGGTTGATAGGAGAGCCTAGTAGGAGTGAATTGATGCATTGGTCCCCAAGTTACAGAAACCACAAGATAAACTATGCTGCAAAATAATACAAATGAGTTTTTTACTCTCTGTTTTCTTAAAAAAAGAGGGTGAATGACCAGATTCTTTTAAACAATAATTTCAGTTTTAGTTAAAATGCCCACCAGATGGCACCAATGCATGCAAGTACTTAGGAAAATCAGAAGCATTCTCATAATACCTTAAAGTCTGTTAAAATGGAAAAGTATTGATTGTCTGTTAAATATTGAAAGTCTGGTAAAATTGAAAAAAATAGTGTGATTACTGGCTTCCTATTAATTTGTCTTTAGGAAACCCTTTCTGAGGCTGTAGTTTGGATGAGGTGTCTTTTCCTCTGTGGTCCTGTAGTTAATAGCACTCACCACATTGTTCTGTAATTCTTTACTGGAGTCTTAACTTCTTTCACTTGAAGTAGAGATCAGGACATTTTTAGCTTCATCAGGCTTGGAATGGTGGGGCTTTTGTTTATTTTTCTCACAATCACTAGGTTAATGAGTTAAGTCCAGGTTTGGGAGAAGTAAATGTAGACTACCCAATTTAAATATGTCTTTCAAAGCTTATAAAACCATGAGGAAATAATGGAAATAAATATTTCATTGCTTTAATTTTATGTATTGAATTGACAAAGAAAAAAACAGTCTACATTATCTACCTCATCTCTAGACTGATTTACAAATCCCATTTCCTTTTGGGAAATAGGCATAGAGAAATTTACAGCCCTTGAAAAATAAATGTATAAATTAATATGTCTAAGGACCATAAAAGTGACTTCCAAGCAGCAGCCTGGATTCTAAATATGAAACTTTGATACCATTTATCCTGAATGGCACCAAATGCAACTCATCCTCTGTGTCTGTGATGTCTAAGTATCCTAGGAAAGTTTCTGAGTTTCCTTGTTTTCTGAGAAAGTGTATCTTTTCTGTATTATTGATACATTGGAGGCCAGGCAAGCATCAGGCTTTCTATTCCTGGAAAACATAGCTCCAGAACCTTTTTATTGCTGTTCACTTATGGTAGATACTCAGTATTCTTTCACTGTTGAATCCACATTTTAAAAATGATCAGTTTTACCAAAGCATGAGTATTGAAATGATAGTCTTTCCAGAAGCTACTTGGGGAAAAAAGTGTTCTGTGGGTTAAGCAAGGCAAACGGTTTTCCTTCTCACAGCTCACTCTGTCATGCTGAAGACTCTGAAGCCTAATGGCAGTGATTCTCAGTGGAGCAGTACTGCCTCCCAGGGGATGTCTTATAAATTATAAATTTGTGGGAATGTTTTTGTTGTCACATCAATTGACCCAAGTGAACAGACAGTCCCATAAAAGCAAGAGTTGTCCCTCACTCCCTGGGTCTTTAAGTCATCTAACTGAAAAATCTGTTTATAATTAAGCGTAGGACAGAACTCTGTTTTACATAAAAATAATTGTGATTTTATAATAGTAGACACTGAAAGTCTTAGGAATACAATGACCATGCAAATCAAGGGAAGATTATATTTTTGTTTGGAGCTTTACCAACAACATAAAGATTTGAGAAGAGCCCATCATAAGCAAGTATCACTGGTTGTATTTGAGTCTTGATGCAGCACAACTGCGTAGCCTTTGTTTATGGCTTTCATATTCACCTCGACCATTCAGAGGCAAATGTCTGTTTACGTCTTTTGTTTTAGTCATTCCCAAGCATTTACTTAGTTGGTGGTCTTTTTAGAAATTATGTAGGATATGTCTGAATTTTTTGTCAGGATGGTAAAGGAGGTGTTTCAAAAATACATGTTTAAAAGGGCACATTGTATCTGGTAGGGTTAGGAATCACACTTCTAAGTAGAAAAATCTGGGGAAGTCTTAAGCAGGAATTGCTAAATTTGATAATAGAACGTTTGTTTTGTGTAACATGTTAACTTCAGGGAAAGCTATACTAATTCAAACGCTGTCATTAATGAAACTTTTTGTGGTACTTTAAACTTCTGAAAATGCTTTTACATGACTTATTTCAACTTATTTTCATATTTTATGCACATAGCATACCAATGCACATAGCATTGGTATTCTCATTCTATAGATAAAACAGTACAAGAGAGTTCAGGTGATTCATCATAGGTTACTTAAGGGTCTGAGGCAGAGCCACAGATGAGAGGCCTAATTCCCAGCTCCATGCCTTTTCTTCTACATTTTATGACTCTGAAAGTTTGCCAGTCTTAGCACAGGCTTCTCTCCATTCCTCTCTGCTTCTGTAGCCAGAGGGTAGGCAGGGACAAGGTCAAACTCTTTGTCAAAGCAGTGTTGGGGCAGGTGAAACATTCCACATAAGGGGCTGACTATCTAATATGAAGCACACCAGTTTATTTCCCAGTGCCTACTTACTTTTCAAGTTCATCACTTTGTATCTGCAGATCAGAAGGTGATCAGGGAAGGGACAGAAAATGAAACTGCAGCTCACTGGTTAAAACCACCAAATGGGATATGGAATTTGTAATTTATCTTTGCTTTACTTTGTATTGCTTCGTTTTATTATCTTCTGTTCTCTCTGGAGCTTACAGTTGGTATTTGCCATAACCAACTTTATTTAAGATCACTGGCCTATAGGATCTCTTTATTCTTGAGAGGAAATAATGGCAAACAGTGTTTACTATGTGTCAGGCATTGTTCTAAGTGCCTTATGTTCATTAACTTATGTAATTCTTTCAAAACTTTGTGAGGTAGGTGTAACAGTATCTCCATTCAGATGAGGAAACTCAGGCAAAATAGTTGAATTTCTTGAGGTTTCACAGCTAGCAAGTGGTGAAGGGTACAGTACTATGCCCCAAGGTATACAGCAAGTAAATGGCAGAACCAAGATTTGAACCGGGTTCTACTGACTTCAGAGGAAATTTACAGATTACCAAAGAGGAGCTGACTGTTATGCTCCGAACGTGACAGGTGGAGTCTTGTGGCTTTTTTTAGGATGAGTGTTGCAAGAACTTTTATTGAAGACCTAACCAAGTTTCAGTTTTGTTTTGAAATCTAAAGGGTGTCATGGTATCAGAGGTTTTAGAAAAAACTTCCTACCTCTAAGTCTCTCCATTCAGGTGTCATAGTCTTTTACATTCTATCAATAAGCTATCTATCAAGGTATTTGAGTTTTCTTTGGGTTCAACTGTTAGAAAGGTATATTCTTAAGAGAGTAATTGCTGTGAAACCTTGGGAGGTGTAGTTAGCCTCTGTTAATGTCTTACTTGCCTATGTCACCAGCGATTACGAGCGTTGTATATGGGGAATTATTTTGAGTCATAATGGGAAAGTATTTTGAAAACTGAAACTTCTGTCCATTTAAGATATTGTCATTACTCATTAATTTTAGTTCATAATGCAAATAATTTAAATGGCACTTATTCCTTTGCAAATGAATTCTTTGTTATGATAATATTCTATTGATAATACTTAACTAACAAAAATATCATGATTGTTCACAAACGTAGCGGTGCTGTAGTGGAGCCATGATAAAATTGGGGAATATATGAATATCCTGATTCATAGCCTGGGGTGCTTCCTTAAGGGTCTTTAGGTCACCTGCATTAAGTGCTGCTTGGAGTCTCACTTTTTAAATTTTGTGTAACTAGCTTCTTTCTTGGTAGAGTTGATACTTTCTTTTTAATTAGTCAAGAGAGAGAACCTTCTGGTTTTAATATATCCCCAACAGCATCCTTACTGGTCTTGGACTTTTTCTTCCTCTATTATGGGCAGCAATATCCTGGGTCCCAACCTATAATTCTATAGATTGTGTAGGTGGCACAAACACTCATATGTACAGACTAACCTGGGCCTTCAGAGAGGCTGTTTTCTAGTGGCCTCAGGAACTGAGGAAATTGCCACAGGAGATCCCTGCCTGCAGTGACCACAGAGAGCTATGCTGTAGAGGCTCACGTGGCTCCAGGCCCACTCTGAGGCACCAGACTTGCCCATCTTGGGTCTGGCCCACAGTCAGACTTAGGTCCCCAGGATCTGCTCAGAGCAGCCCCAAAACTCCCTGAAAGGAGCCTTGGAATTGACTGGTGTCCTGAGGCATCTTCCAGGCTGAACTGCATGGACTAGTAGCCAAACCTGGAGAAGAGCTGTGGTTGTCGTAAGCCTTCCCGATGTATGTCCCCAGAATTCTAGGACATCTCCAGTGTGTCCTGGACCCTGTGATAGAGACTGCTCTCAGTAATTAGCTCTGGCAGCCCTGAACCTCACTCTGCTCGTAGGCTGGGGCTTTCCCCCATAGAGTCCTAACTGGTCAATCTCATGCTCACTGTTATAAGTTCTTTTGAAATAGTGCTTCATATGTCAAGGACCAGCTCAAATGTCCCTTTTCTTCCCCTGTAGGCTTCCAGCTTGAACAGAATAAATTACTCCATAAAGTACAGTATGCCCATACTTTATTCATATCTCAGTACACAAGCCTGTCTGCGTTGTGCTTAAAGGGAGCTTTGTTTTTTGATAGTAAAAAATACATGTGACTCATTTCACCTATTTATGTATTTGCAATGCCTTGCACCATGATTGGACCAGCATGTTTATTGACTTAAATTCCTTTGAAGGACAGTAAGATGGAGGAAAAAAGTATCACTCTTTTCCTAATCAGTTATTTCAACAAATTTATTGGAAACCCTACTAATATGTTAGGTACTGGCATGCCCTGAAGAGGCAATTATGAGTAAGACACACAGTTCTTATCTTCAGGAAGCTTATATTATTCTCCCCTTTCATGCTTTGGTCTCTCAATTCATTTCTGCTGTCACTGAAATCAGATGTTGCTTCTGGGAGTGGTGAGCTGACCAGACCATTCCTTTTTACTCACCCAGGCTGTGGAAAGGTACTGCTGGTGGTGGTGGTAGAAGCAGAGACAGCCTGGCAGAATTGTAGCCTCCCCTTCTGACTATAGTCTTGATAATTGTAGAATGTCCAACCATCACTTAACCATTACTCAGTTCTCCCCAAAGGGAATTCTAGATGAGTTCAGTGGCAGGCTTATGCATCTGGCTAATGGCAGATTGGGAGCTGAGAGCCTAGGTTTTATCTGGAATAGATACCTAGGATAGATGGAGCAAGTGGTTAAGCCAGGGATCAAATCAGAGAGGTCAAGTCCATTTCAGATCCACAGGATGAGCATAGGATGGACAACTGGAGACAAAACGTGAACTTTAGAAGAAATATTGGGCAGGGAAGAAACTGGAAGTTGTAGGAATGAGCTGGATGTTAAGAGTTAAGGTAGTTAATAGATTCAAGAGTTTTGTGGTAAAAAGCTGGGATTCCAGTTTTCTTTAATTGCTCAGCTTGCTAAAAGATACAGGGCTGGGCTCTTTGGAGGAGTGGTGTCAGCCTTATAGCTGAATAAGAAAGACATTCCTTACATGTGTTCCTCTCCCAGCAACAACAGTTTGGCATCCATCCATGGACAAGAGTGCCTTTGTGGGAGCTGTTGGATCCAGCATCATATGGATCAAATCTTGCCCACCTCTGCATCAGGTAATAGGCATATGGACCTTGGTTCTGGCTGTAAACCCTGTAATAACCTGTAAACTGGCTCCAGCCCCTCTTGGTTGCGGTCCAGGAGCCCCTGGAAAACACTGCCCTAGAATCATGCACAAACAAGAGAACCTTTGTGGAAGTCCAAGTCTCCATTTGAGAAATGTCAGCACACCACTGGAATAAAAAAATATGAGTTTGGACTCATTGAAGTGGGTAAGAGGAACATTTTGACCCTCTGTATCATTCCTCCCCCAAGGTGGCATAGCTTAAGGCCAAGAGAGATCATCTTTGCCTGTGATTTCTCCTGTGGGGGAAAAGGAGATTGTGTGAGTGAACACCCAGCTTACCTAGCTGTGTGGGACACTGCCAAAGAAGCTCATTTTTCTCACCACATCCAGAGTACTGAGTCATGAGCTTCATGGCTTGGGGGCAGGAAAAGGCTGGAAGAATGGCAGATTGGACTGTTGATGGGCATTGAAGGGACCTGGATCCTACTAACTGTTGCAGACTCCATCAAGGAGCTCACCCACGAACTGATGGAGAAATCTTGTCAACAGATCCTCCAATTGGTCTATGTGCACTCCCATTGCTGTGTGTACCTCATTCTTATTCACTCCCACTAATGGCAGCTCCCTGTGCATGCTTTTGCTAGAGGTAGTGAGAGGGACTTTGACGAATGGCTAGTGAGCATGTGCAGAAAGCTGGACCTGAATCTGCAGGCCAGGGAGAAGCCACAAACTTGAGGTTTAGTGCTACCTTTGAAGAAACAAAAGGGAGGATATTACCAACAGTTTGGATAGGTTACAGGATCAGGGGCATACAAGCTTAAAAATTCTTTCACAGGAGGGAGCAAATAGCATGGAGCAGGTGTATACATACAAAGCCTCAGAATTAGTAGGATGGCTGATGAAAGGACTTTCTTTCCCAAGGGAAGTTAGTAAATACTGGAGGAGGAGATTAATACTTCAAATGAGAAGACAGCAATGCTAAACTTCAAGGACATGAAAAACCAAAGAAATATGATACCACCAAAAGATCATAATAATCTTCCAGTAACCAGTTCCAAAGATGTGGAGAGCTGTGATTTACCTGATTAAAATAGCTGTTTTAAGGAACTCAGTGAGCGGCAAGAATACAGAAAGATGATTCAACAAAATCACAAAAACAGTAACATGAACAAAACAAAAGTTTAACAGAGATAGAAATAACCAAATTATGGAACTGAAGAATACAGTGAATGAAATGAAAAATTCAAAAGAGCTCATCAACAGCAGAATAGTTCAAGCAGAAAAAAAAAAAATCTGTGAGTTGGAAGACAGAACTTTGAAGTTATCCAGTAGAGAAGAATAATAAAAGGAGTGAAGAAAGCCTTTGTAATCTATAAGATACATTGAAAAAAAGGAAAAGCATTTGCAAATTACTGGAGATCTGAAGGAGAAAGAAGCATAGAGCTTATTTAAAGAAACAGTGGCTGAGAACTTCCCAAATCTGGGGAGAGATTTCGATATCCAAATTCATGAATCTCATAGGTCACCAAACAAAAAGAACCTCTCCAAGACACATTATAATGAAACTGTCAAAAATTAAAGACAGAGAATCTTAAAAACAGCAAAGGAAAAGATGCTTGTAACTTATAAATGAACCACTATAAAGTTATGAATGAATTTCTTAGCATCAACTTTACAGGCCAAGAGAGAGTGGAATGATATATTCAAGGTGCTGAAAAAAAACCCCCACCAACCATTATCTGGCAAAGTTATCCCTCAAAAAATGAAGGAGAGAGAAAGATTTTCCTAGACAAATGAAAATAAGGGAGTTCACCACCACTAGACATGCCTTAAAAGAAATGCTGAAAGGAGTTCTTCCAGCTAAACTGTACTGGTTAAGGTAAGTATGTAGATAAATTCAAAATACTCTTAATACTGTAATATGGTGTGTTAACCATTTAACTCTAGTTTTAAAGTTAAAAGACAAGTATAAGAAATAACTATAGTCACTGTAATTTGTTAATGAATATACAATATAAAAAGTAACTTGTAGCATCGAAAACATAGGAGAGGAGTAAAAGGGTGGAGCTTTTGTATGCACTAAGTTGCTATCAGTTTGAAATGTACTGTTTAAGCTAAAAGATGTATTATATAATCCCCATGCTAAACCAAAGCAAAAACAGTAGATTCATAAAAGATAAAGAGACTCACAAAAGATAAAAGAATCAGAGCACATCACCATGGAAAATCACCAGTTCATAAAGATAGGCAGAAAGAGGTAAAAAGGAACAGTGGAACTACAAGACAGCCAGAGGGTAATTAGAAGGCACTGGTAAGTCCTCGCCTATCTATAATTACTCTAAATGTAAATGGACTGAATTTACCAATCAAAGGACAGAGTGACTGAATGGATTAAAAAAGAAAACATATGTTGCCTACAAGAGACTCACTTCAGCCTTAAGTACACACATAGGCTCAAAGTAAAGAGAGAGAAAAAGATATTCCATGCAAGTGGAAACCGAAAGAGAGCAGGGGTAAGTTATATTTTATTACACAAAATACACTTCAAGCTAAAAATGGTAACGAGATAAAGAAGGTCATTATATAACAAGGGTTCAACTCATCAAGAAGATATAATAATTATAAAAATACATGCATTCGTCATCAGAGTACCTAAATACATTAAGCAATACTAACAGATCTGAAGGGAGAAATAAACAAAGATACAACAATAGAGGAATTCAATAACCTGCCTTCAACAGTGGATAGATCATACAGACAGGAAATCAAGGAAATGTTGGACTGAACTGTACTTAGGACAAACAGACATACATAGAACTTTTCATCTAACAACAGCAGAATACATTTATCTCAAGTGCAACAAAACATTTTCAGGATAGATCATACGAGAGGTCACAAAACAAATATTAGCAAATTTAAGAAGATTGAAATCTTAAGTTATCTTTTTGGACTATGATGGAATGAAACCAGAAGTCACTAATAGGAGGAAAGATGGAAAATTAATACATATGTGGAAATTAAACAACACACTGGTGAACAACCAATGGGTCAAAGAAATCAAAAGGGGAATAAAGAATACATATAACAAACAAAAATACATACCAAAACCTATGGGATGCAGCAAATGCAGTTCTAAAATGAACTAAGATGAATAGTGATAAATAACCTACACTAAGAAAAAAGTATCTTAAACAACCTAACATTATATCTCAAGGAACTACAGAAACAACAAATAGCCCAAAGTTAGCAGAAGGAAGGAAATAACAAAGATTGGAGCAGAAATAAAATTGAGACCAGAAAAACAATAGAAAAGATCAATGTAACTAAGAGCTGGTTTTTGAAAAGATAAGCAAAAGTGATAGAGGTATTAACTAATGCTACTGTGGTAATCACTTCTTGATATATAAGTGTATCAAATCAACATGTATACTTTAAACTTACACAATGTTATGTCAGTTCAATGGTACCCAGTCTGTGGGTACAAAGGAAGAATGTTAAAATGTAGTCTTTGCCCTTTGAGAATCTATAGCTTAGTTGTGAGGGAAGAGTTGCACTTAAAAAAAAAAAAGAATTAGGTAAGAGGAGATTGAATTTAAGGAGACTGAATTAAAAGGCCCAAGTGGAAAGTGTCTGTTTGAGCTGAAGGCATGGGAGGGCTCTGTGGTCCTTGAAGTACAGACTCATTCATAGTCAGCAATCTGTGCCACATGGTTATCTCTCTCAACGCTGGAAAGGTTGGTGAAGTTTGTGCTCAGTTTACATGAATGAAAGGTCAGGACACACCAGAATGTTCAGAATGCAGCCTTAGTCAATTCAACTTTCCTCTTCTATATACCTTATAAAAAATCTAATTTATCCTGGAAATAATTCCTGGCTCTCATAATTCAGCCATGGCAAAGCTTAAGAGCTCCTCAAACCCTTTAGTTTGGCCAAAAAGTGGTATACAGAAATGGCTGCTGCTTTGAGGCTAGCATTTCACCTCATGTGGATGACACAGGGCCAGTCTGCCTTTGGGATGGGGAGAGTTTCCTAGCCCCACCTGGAACTTGATTTACCTTGTTGGCCTTTGTGCTCTTTCTGTGGCATGCTTCCCATTCTGCTAGATTGCCTTTCACTGATTAAAAAGACAGCCACCCACCACTGAGACCTTGGCAAGCACATAATTTTTAGTACTAAGTGGGAGCCCTGTATGTCCTGGTGTCTTTCCCCAACATCTTCATGTTTAACATTTGCTTTTGTGTTAGAAAGCATGGAATTTTGAGTCCCTCTGACACACGAAATAAGATGTTCTCATTAATTACTGACTTTCCTGTCCTTGCTTTGCTGTCAGGAAAAAACTGGATAATCCAATCTATGATTTATTTGAACTAACAGAGTCATGATTTGATTCCAATAATGCTTTATTCTTACTATGCATTTGGACTCTTCTATCCAGCTGTGCTCATGCTAGATGGGACTTTAGTTACTGATTCTAAATGCACGCCAAGAGTATAAAACAGTACATGTCACCTAAAATTTCAATGGAGTTACCTTTCTCAACACAAAATTTTGTAAGACTTTCAAAGTCTTTCCCAAATGGTATCAGAGAATTGAAAAGTCCAGACAACTTACATGTTCACTTTCGACTGACGGACTTAACCTTACAGGTGTTTCAAAGGGACCCTGCAATTGGCTGTACAGTGACGAGTTTGTTGGTGGATTTATCCAATGCATCTTTTTTAGGTGTTTACTCTCTGTCATGCTCTGTTCTAGGTGTTGGGAATAGAGCAGTGAATAAAACAGAAACCTGCCCTCATTTACAGTAAGAAAATAGACAAAAATCAAAGAAATAAAGTAATTTGTTATCTGAGCATAAGAAGTGCTTATAAGGAGAAAAACAAATTAAGGCAGGGGATATAGGCTGCTACTTTGGGGGAGACAAGTAGGGAAAGCACTTCAGTATTAAATATTGTATAGAAAGGTCTCACTGAGAATGTGTCATTAGAGCAATGCTTGAAGGAGGGGAAGGAAGGAGCCACATCCATAATGGGGTGAAAAGTGTCTCAGGCAGAGTGAGCATTGGGTTCAGGACCTTGGGGTAGAAAGTGGCTGGTATGTTCCCAAGCAGACTAATGATAGCATTAGCATACATAGACACAGTGCTTCCTATGTTCCACACACTATTCTAAAGGCTTTACGTCTGTTATCTCATTTAATCTTCCGTGTTTACCCCATCCCGATTTATAGATGTCCAAGATTACTCAACTGGAAAGTGGTGGAACCCTGGAAATACATTTTAAAAGAAGGCTGAAGGTACTTAACAGTTTAGAACTGGGAGACAAGCTGCCCTGGCTCTGGGAAAGGTGACTCTCCAGCTTGGCCTCACACAACTAGGATTCCTATTTTTCCATTCTCCCCACTACATCCCTTCTCCCATTGTTCATACTCAGGCTTCCCTCTAGACATGATGGAAAAGGAAAGAGGTCTCCCTAAAACCCCAGCCCTGACTCCTGCAGTCCATGTGGCAGTTAGGAGCATGGACTGAGACCAAATAGTTCATACTCTGACCCCCAGCCATCTGGGCTCCAGGTACTCAATATCTTTTATCTGTAAAATGAAAATAAAAAATAATGCCTGCATTTTAGAATAATGAGGATTTAGTAGGGTAATGTTCACAAATGCATAGCACAGAGCTGATGCATATAATCACTATGAAATCTTAGCTGTAATTATTAAATTTAATTAAAACAAAAAAACTGGGGCTTGATTGAAATCTGGCTCTCATTTATATCCTATCAAATGCCATGTGAGAGCCTCTCTGAGGTACTGGTCTCTCACATCTTGGCTCCCAAATTGGATATGGCTTATTGGAAATAAAACAAAACAAATATAAATAGTATTGAATAAAATCAACTAGCACAGCCAAGTTCCAACTCACTAAAAGCCTCAGTCATGTTGAAGATAGGGCTTTGCAGATATGTCATGGAAAAGAGGACAAGGAGTAGAGAGACTATGTGACGATTATGTCTGCTTTGTAAGTTAGTCTTCATTTCTCAACTTCAATTGCTCAAGAAGAGTCAAGGCTTTTCACAAAATTGGCATTGACTTTTTGAGGATTGCTTCAAATTCTACAAGAAGAAAATGATCTCCTAAAGAGGCTTACAAAATCCAATTAAATATATTTTAATTAATTGTGTTAGAATGAAAGAAAGGCTTTTTCAAACAGCCCATATATTTGATAGATTTTTTTCCTCTCATAGGGATGTTGAACCCTGACTTTTGTGGAGTAGCATGGTGCTATGGGAAGAGCATACTCACTATGCAGTTACAGGCTGTTGAAACTTCAGTCAAGGCTTCAGGGTCCTCATCTATAAAATGGGAATAACACCCACCTCACAGGGCTGTTGAGAGAATTAAATGGCATGGCTATGGAAAGCTCCAAGCAGGTAACAGACTTTCACTGATGTTAGTCTAATTTTTTAAAGCTTTTTCTTCAATTATTTCGCATTCTTCCACATCATTAGAACTGCTTAATTATTCAGGATTTTTAGATCCAGTTTATGGATTATCAAAGCCCTTTGCTAATAGGCTTGTTCCTGCTGATTTTTAAAACTGCCATGTAACTGCCTATCAGCCTGTCAATTATAAGAAATAGCAGATGATTCAACATCAATATTGCTGAATGCCATGGGAAAATGGCTTTATGAAAAAGTTTGAAACTATAGTTAAATGGAACTTTATTTTTTAAAGTTTATCTATGGACTGATTTCACAAGTTGATCGTTTTCTTATTTTTAAGGTTTATTTTTTTCTAATTACATAATTATCACAAAAAATGTGAAGGTCAAATAAAATCACTCATAATACTATTGCCCAGAAATCACTGCTCTTAACTTTTAGTTGTTCTTCTTTTTACATGCATAGTCCTTTATATGACTTTTTCCACCTGAAAGCATAAGTACTCTCCCATATTGCTTGCATAGTTTTCCTAATTTAGACATTAAGGTTCTCTGAAGTTTCTCCACAAAAAGTGTTTTGGAATGTAAGCCTTTGTCTGCATTCCTGATTAGTACCTGAGGATAAATTTCCAGAAGTAAAATTATTGGGTCAATCTCAGGTATCTATTTGTGTATAATATGTGCTCAAAATTTAGGACAACAATAGCTATTCATTTGGCAACAATTTAGCAATTAGGGGACAAGTTTTCTCTGTTCCATGTGATGTTAGCTGGCTGGATGGCTTGACGGGGGCTGGAGGATCCACTTCCTAGGTGATTCTCTCACATGACTAACAAGTTGGTACCGGCTATTGGCTGGGACCTCAGTTTCCTGTCTCTAGTCGGACTTCTGCACTGGGTTCCAAGAGAGAGGAGGTGGAAATTGCTAGTCCTCTTAAAGGTTAAGCCCAGAACTGGCACATAGTCTCTTCCAGCATGCTATCTTGATCAAAGCATTCACAGGCCAGATACCAGAGGATGGTAAAATAGACCACATCTCTTTCTGGGGGATACAACAAATTATTTGTGGTCATATTTAATCTATCATAGTCAAAGAGCATATTGTTGAAGGATCTTTACACAAATCACCAAATCACTTTCCATAAAGGTTCTTCTGTTATGCAGTTCTACACAGCAGAGCATGAGAATCACACTCACCAACATTAAATATTAAAAATTTAAAAATCTTTTAGTATGTAAAATGTGGAATCTCATTGTTTAACTTTACTTGATTATCAGTGAGTTTCCATATATTTGATAAAAATTTATATTTCTTTATGAATTGTCTGCCTGTTTTTTGGGCAATTTGTTTATGTATAAATGAACTTAACAAAATTCTATGAGTTTATTTATTACTGACATTAAGAATGTGTCATATTTGTTGTAAATATTCCTTTCATTTCTCTTAATTGAAAGTAAAAAATTTTTCCCTCTTAAGAAAAACGTTAGACAAAATGATTTCCTATTAACACAATTTTCATGAGTCTTGCCTCCATGCCTTGGTCTCAAAATAATTGTATATATTATAATAAAATATTTTGGATCAATGTCAGTTTTACTCATCTAACATGTCAACAGAAACCCAAGAAATAATCTGATTTATAAATTACCTTCATTTTGAAGGGACTGAACAGAAAAAGGAGTTTAGATAACTTTATAGGAACAGAAATGGAGAAACAAAATTGTGTCATCATCCCTTAATTTTCTCTTTATCCCTTAGCTGCCTGGTAGGCAAGCTGATTAACTTTTCTGAGCCTGTTTTCTTAACTGTAAAATGGGGATAATAGCAGGTATTCCTTGAAACTTAGAGAAGATGTCTGTGAGGGTTCTAGCACAGGCAGGGCCTGGTATGTGGAGGACACCGTCATTATTTGCCTGTTATGTTTTTCCTCATGAATCAGGAAGGACCTTAACTATCAGAGTATCGATGAAAGTTCTCTGAATGACTTTCCAGGTCAGGATTTGGGTTGTGTAAATATTGTTATTTAGCTTATCTCAGTGTCCATGCAAATCAGGTGCCTTGTTCCAAATAACACATCACTATATTCAGGTCACAGCTGTAGCAGATGTGGGATTGTGTGATATCCTCCTTGAGAATGACCCTTGGAGGGCTTCTCAGAGCAATCTGGTTTCCAATCTCAAGACTCTGAGAGTTCCATGCTGGTATTATGCCTAATACCTTTTACAAGTATGGCACTTGATAGTTTTCACAGCACTTTAATGTGTTTTGTTTCCTTTGATCTTTATAGCCATCCTGGGAGGCCTGCAGGTCAGGTAATATTTATTATTTTCCTTTTTATGCATGAGAAAGTCAAGGCTTGGAGGGGTTATGACCTGCCCAAAGTCACAATGGTAGTAAATTCGAGATCTAGTACCAAGATGGTCCTACAGGGCCCATTCATGAATTTTCTTAATTGATTGTATGGTGCCTATCTCTTCACCAAGGTCATTGCAACACGTGACCTTAGGATGAGGAGATGTACAGGATGGATTGTTTTTTCTGTTTTCCGTTAAAACTGGTGAGAGAGTGTAGTAGTTAATGTAAACTCCGGAATCATTGTCTGCATTTGGATCTTGGCTCTATCTTTTGTTAGCTCTGTGCCTTTCAGGAAGTTTTTTAACCTTTTTGTGCTTCAATTTCTCTCCATTACAAAATGAGAATAATACTGGTACCTAACTCATAGGACTGTTCAGGGTTTAAATGAGACCATCTTGAAAAGCACTAGCACAGTGCCTGGCACCCAGGTAAACATTAACTGAAGTTCCTGTTCTTACCTGGTGTGATATGAGAAACTCAAAGCTTACCTCCCTTCATGTGTCTGTATTGTTGGCTGTTCACTGCCTTGGACTAAAGTCATTGGTTTTGGGAGGACTCTGTTATTTAAGACAGCTGTCTTCCATGAGAGAGGCAGCCATCCACTCTGTACTGCACTGAGTATCTTTCTCTACATTACCAGTTTATCAGAGTGGCCCTGAGGAGATGAAGCACAAGACAGATAAATATTGACTGTTTTGATGGGAAAAAAAGCACACCATTAATCACTGTTAACATTTGGTATATTCCTTGCCTGTCTTATATAATCTTTAAAAAATTGGAATTAATGAAGAACAGCATATGCCACCTGAAATATGCCACTGTGGCATATTGATTATTTTGAATTAAAATTACTTGAGAAACAGCCAGTGCAAGAAGGACACTTTGACTCTCCTTTGTCCCCTGAATACATGGTACCTTCTGTCAGGAGGCATTCTTACCACAGGACGTGGCATTTGGGTCTGAGAAGGCTGCCTAAACAAAACTACTTAATTAGTTTACTCCCCAAGCCCAAACCCCTTTGTCATGTTAATTCTTCACAAATTTATTGTTTTCTTGTCAGACAGGTATAAAAGCTGCCTGCTTGGTCACTTTTTTAAATCTCCTGTTTTTTATGGAGCTCCTGTACCTATGAAATTAATTTTTTTTTCTCCTGTTAATCTTCATCAATTTAATTATTAGGATAGCCAAAGAACCTAGAAGGGAAGAAGGGAAAAGTTTTCTGTCCTTGTATAAAGACTTTTCTGATTTGCTCTGTTCACTTTATGTTTACATTGTCTGCTCATTGCCTTAGTAATACTGAAAAACTTGCTTTCATGGCTGCATTGGATGCCATATTTGGAGATGCTATTATTTATCACCAATTTAGTATATGGGAGTTAGTTTTATTTTCCTAATATAAGCAAATACCAAAATAAGCATCCCTTTATGTAAGTATTTGGGATTTTCTCTGATTATAAACTTAAATTCCTAAAAGTAGGATTGTTAAATCAAAGGGTATATACATTTTGAGAAATACTGCTTAACTGTCCCTAGAAAGTTACGTCAATTTACTGTTCCCTCCAGTAGTGTATGTATCAGTGATCAAGTCATTCAAGGCCTTCTATATTTTCTCCTATTCAACTATTCTTTCCACTCTTTGTTTGAAATATATTCCTGTAAAAGCTTCTACTTCAGATCTACCCTCAGTTCCAACTATATTGTTTTGTTCAGTGTCCCTCAAACATCCTCTATAGGTATCATCTCTGGGCCTTTGCCATACCTTTCTTTCTCCTCTTCCTTCATCTCTAAATCATGTGTCCTTAATTCAAGTCCCAACCTATCTGCAAAGACTTTCCTGAATGTCCAGTTCAGTGAATAGCCATCCCTCCTCTGAGGTCCCTCCCCTCTGTTGTCTGTGCCACTCATTTGTCACTCATCACATGCCGCCTTATCTTGTGAATTCTCTATGTATAACTGCATTGTTTCCTAAAGGATCATATACTATAAAATTACACTTAAAAATCTCTTGTATTGCCTATAACATACACAAATGTAACTTTGCATATATAACTATATTGTACTACATATAATTTATATAATAATGTGTAATATAAAATTTCAATTAGGGATCATAATGAAAGCTTAAATCACCTTTTAGGTAACTATCCTACCAGATTAAATATTCCCAATAGAATACAGGTATTCCTATAGAGCCTGTCCCCGATATCTAGGAGGTTCAGACTGCAAACTCCCTGAATTTAGGAGCTATACTTATCTAAATTAAAAATGATAGGGACTCTTTTCCACATAGCACTGAAGGAATAGCTGGATTGAATTTTAAATCATAAAATGTGATAAGAATAATGTGATCAACGTCTACAATCAGGAATCAAAGTCAACTTGAAAAAGGCTATATGTATACTGCAATAACAAACTGAGTATCAGGCTTAAGAATCGTTAACCCGAATGATACAGGAAGTCTAGATCCTGTTAGTGATCAGAAATCTTAGCTTTTCCAAGAAATACTGAGATTGAAAACATGTTAAATAAGTCATAGTATACAAATAATAGTGCAAACATACTGCAAGAAACTGAAAATTCTATGATTTCTTGTTGCATTTAGATTTAACAAGTACTTCTTCAGCATAACTGATT